ACTTATTTATTGTTTTCGTTTTTCTATGATAATTTTTTTAATTTCACTAATTTAAATTATTTACTAATTTTCTTAATTTAAATTATTTCATCCATTATACCCACTTTTTTTAGACTGAAATGTATCTCCCAAACAGTTGAAATATCATCAACTTAGCAATACTTTTCTTGCATCAAAATTTGCTCCATTACAGCTCTGTACAAACTAGAATGCCACATAAAGTTCTCCCACTGTTGCTAAACGAATGTAGAAACCTTTGACCGCTATGGGACTGTGCAATTTAGGAAAGATTGTGGTGGAGGTGGAAGAAGGGATTAGGATATTAGCTTCTGTTTTTAAATTCTATCCTTGGGTTGAATCCATTTATAGCTCAAGTTTGTTCTGATGCTTTCGTGGTAATTTTTTTCCATTTTGACAAAATGTTCTCGTATTTTTATCTTTATAAAATTCTCCAAAAATTAGTTGGTTATAATTTAATAATAATAGATTTTATATTGCGCTCTTTTTCTGAAAGCTTTTCTACTCCCATTCATAGAAATCTGAAAATTATTTTTCCTCTGCAAACCAACCAATCACACATTTTTTTTTTTACAATCACTAACAGCAAAGTTTGTCGACAAATTGTTGCATTAATGCTAATTTTTTCTACTTCATTTTAACCTTTATAACATATTTTAATTTTTAAAAAAAGTTTTTTTTTTAAGAATTAACTATATATTAATATTTAATTTTACTCTTTTGTTCATCAATATATGATTTTCGATTTAAAATTTTGTACCAAAGCATTAAAAAATAAATAAAAAATCTTGCCAAATTGCCAAAATAAATTATTTTTTTCAAGATGATATGTTAAAAAAATAACATTTTGAATAAAATATTTTATAATATAGACACTTTTCTTGTACACACATCCTACACTTTATAAGAAAAGAGAAACAAAAACCTGGAAATTTTAAGATTTTTATCTGGAAAAATCAGGGAAATTTGAAATCTGATTTGAGTTGCCACCCTGATTAATTATATTTTCGCCATTTTATGTCTGTAAGTGTTTCGAATTTTATTGATGAAGCTAGTATTTTATATTTATTGTAAATAGATCTTAAAATTAAAACTCCTTACAGATATTGTTGGGGGAAAATTAATGTTAACAAATATTTATATGTCATGTCCTTCTTCAGCAATAATTTTTTATTAATAATCAACATAAAATTTATTTGGTGGCAATGTGCGTTTTAAATTGCTGTTGTTAATACAGTCGATGGACAAATTATTGGACTCACTATAAGATTCGATGTGAAATCTTAACTATCAGGTTTGCACTTTTTAACGTTCATGTATCAGTTGGTTGACATTGTAATGCAATACATTAAAAATGAATACAAATAGGACGCATGTAAAAAATCTGAATGAAAACCCATTACTTGTGTGTCTAAATATCAAAGTACTGCAAAACATGTAATTATTAAGAAAAAGTACAGTGCGTCTGATAATTTGGTCTAATTATTTGAATATAATACCTGATATAATAAATATTCTATATTGGTATTTTATATAGTCTTAATTTATCTAATCGTCAAATGCATATTATATATCTTCTGACTTAACCCATTTATAAATGAACAAGTTCAAACAGTCACGTCAAAACACTAAAGCACCCGATAATTAAGATTTTACATAGAATCATAGTAGTGTGTCTAATAAATTGTCTGTGGACTGTAGCTTAAACAAGAATTTAAAACATGTAATAAATAAATACAAAAAGGACAATTAGAAGACGTGACAGAAAAGAAAAAGTTTTATTTACTGCTGCAAGTATATAGAACTCATAAAATTAGTTTAAAATATAGGGAAAAGAGAAGAAGACAAATTATTTAAATAAAATGTAATGTTTTATATTATATCATTATATTTTATACAGATATTAAAAAATATTATAATTTATTCAATATTTTTTAATATTTTATTTTAATAATTTTTATCTCTTAATTAATCTATATGAAATGTTAATCTTTACAGGTTCACGTAAAGGCTCACTTTGATTATGATCCAGATGATGATCTTTACATTCCTTGTAGGGAGTTGGGGATCTCTTTTCAGAAGGGTGATATCCTCCATGTGATCAGTCAGGAGGATCCCAATTGGTGGCAGGCATTCAGGGAAGGGGAGGAAGATCAGGCATTGGCTGGTCTAGTGCCCAGCAAGAACTTCCAGCAACAGTTAGTATTCCCCTTCTTTTTTGTAATGGGGCATTTCAAACTATTTAATCCATAAGATTAACGTTGAATGTGGATGGAACTTCATCTGTGAAAATGGGGGGAAATTTCACGTTTTAGAATTTAACAATTGTCATTCTGTTATCGCAGTGCAGAGGAGATTTTATCAGCGTTGCAGTCAATTTCAATCAAAAAAAATTTATTTTATAACCGTTATTGATCAACTGACGCCAGTTTTTGAGTTCACACCTACTCATGTTCAATTCCTCAGCCTTGTCATTTTGAACCCTATCCAGAAGACAAGGGAACTGCTGGATCAAATATTGGGAGAAATTTGCTTTCATGGAGGACTCTTTAGTGGAACTTACCTGCATTCACTTTACGTGGAAAGGAAAACCGCCAAACGTCCCACGGTTAGCAAGACGGCAAGGGGGCTCTGAACCATGATCTCTCTATCATTGAGGATGTTTTACGTTGGTGCAAGCCATATGCAGAATTCGTATTGACCGACCATTGCTGAGATTCAAAAGTGCTTTGTCTCGTCGGCAGGCGAACGTTCTTTCCCCCGAGGCATCACGGTTCAATCAAAACATTTGAAGAACTGTGACTGCACAAATGCTTCAGAATGTATGGCGTGAAATGGCCTAGATGGTGACCGAAGGAAGTCACATGGAAAATCTGTGTTCCATATACATTCTGCGTAAATTTTATTGATAAATTATTTTTCAATAAATAGTTAGAGCTGTTTTTCATCGCTAGATTCATTTTGAATTACCCTGCATATAGTTAAAGAGTAATTTTATATATACAGTCGAATCTCATTAATGTGAAACGGCTTAGCATGAAATATCGTTTTATGTGAAACTTGGTCCAAGGAGTCAACCATCAATTATTGTTGTATCTTACTCGTTTAATATGAAATTTTCAAACTGATAATCACTTAACATGAAAGAAAACTGGATACAGCACAGATAATGAATAATTAGATTATGGTAGTATAGTATGTTTATAATATAATATCTGACAGAGTTATTGTAATGAATGAAGAATAAAATCCAATTCATTCAGTTTAAGTTCTATTTTTTTTCCTTTGTTAGAAGAAGCAGATGGGCAAANCACAGCTTTAACCCTTCTAGGAAGGCTATCCACTAGGTGTTGGTACATGGGGGCAGGTATTGCCCGCCATTCCTCCTGTAACATGGCGAAGAGTTGAGTGGTGGTTTTGAGGCATTGTGGTCTGGCCCTCAACCAGCACTCCAACTCATCCCAGAGATGCTCAATTGGATTGATGTCGGGACTTTGGGATGGCCAGTCAAGCTCTTGCACCTCCATTTCATCAAACCAGTCCGTGATGGCATGTGCATTATGAATGGCAGCGTTATCGTGTTGGAACACAAACGGGCCATTACCGAACTGTTGCAACAGGGTGGGAAGCGCCGAATTGTCCAGGATGTCTCTATACCCTTCTGCGGTCAGGGTTCCACGCACTAACACCAAGGCTCCAAGGCCAAACCATGAGAAATAGGACCAAACCATAATTCCTCCACCGCCGAACTTCACAATGGGGACAATGCACTCCGGTAGGTACCATTTTCCGGGCATTCGCCAGGTCCACACTCGTCCATCAGAGTGCCACAACATGTAGCGTGACTCATCACTCCACATAACGCTTTTCCATTGCTCTATCCTCTGCCTTAGAG